TTCCTTGGGCAGCCTTCATTGTGTGTAACACCATCCCGCTGCAAATTCTCAGCATTCAATTTTCACTGACTTTTAAGAGACTCTTCAAGGCCCCACCACCTCCTTTTCGCCCAGCTTTCGAGCGATGCCGAGTTTGGCTCCGGGCCTCGGGAGTCATGGTCATTTGCATCTGTGAAATATTGTGTGCGTTTATAAATTGCCTTGTTTATAACAATCTACTGCATTATAACTCTTCTTCTTAATGTCCACAGACATCCTTAATCCAGAATCTTGTACTACGAGTTGACCAGAAGATAGTGGGACAACAAATGGGTTGGTAAACCCATTGTAGTTTTTTTAGTGTTGTTCCCTGATATGCATGCATTTCCTCTGTGCACTCCGCATTTTCCTGTGTACAAAGCAGTCCCTACAATGAATGGCAGTGGACTCATGGAATAAGATCCTCCTGCCAGATCTGGGGTAATTGTAAAAGTAATTACAGCAGCATTGCTAGCTCAAATTACATTGTGACTGCATTTCATGGCAAAATGGCACAATCACAATTGTAATCGACCCCAGGCCTGCCGATTCCTGAAAAAAAATGGCTGAGGCTTTGTGTGAATGAATGACATGCATTTATACCATGTAAATTATTTAGTCTCACGTGCAACTGTAACAGCGGCAAGTGGTATGACAGCGGATAGCGGTTAACGCTGCGCTATAAACCTGGTGACCCGAGTTCGATTCCTGCTCACAGCCAACACTGGTGACGACTATCTGAACTAGGCCTGGGCCTCCCCTAGGTCTACTCAGCCTCAAATGGGTACCTTGTGCGGTGTGTAAACATCACCACTGGGGAGACAAAGACACCCCCACCCCCTTGTTTACCGTTTCGGCCTACATAGGCGCTCGCTGACAGCACTTGCTCCAACAGTCTGTTAAGGCTATAGGTGTACAGCAGCTCTGGTATCGGCGGTGGTGAACGTGACGCTGTTTTCCACTGACGCCCGTGCAGGTGCAGCTATGGTGCTGGTAGAGGGCATCGCGGACGAGGTGTTGGTGGTATGCACCGCGGCGCTCGGCTTTGCCACGCTCGCCGTCGTCTGGTTCTCCACGAGCATGGCCGACAGCTGGGGCCGCACGGGGCCTGCAGATGCTCAGGGACGGCCACCGCACACCGCACCGCACACCGCACCGCACACTGCACCGCAGCCAGCCAACCGCGGCGACGGCGACGGCGGCGGTGGCGCGAGCCCCGAACCAAGCCACGACGCTTCGGCCGCCGGTGGCAGCGGTAACACGGGGGAAGCAGTCGGTGATGCTAACAGCCAGCCGGACACGCATGGCAGCGGCTCGGTTGAAGGCAGTTCATCACCCTCGCACGTAGGAGACCATGGTTTGCCATCTCCATCGCAAGCGCAAAGCAGCAGTAGTCCCAGCCACTCACCGGTGTCGCGCAGGAGAGCCGAGGACCAGCGGAGCGGCGGTAGCAGCGGCAGTGCGGAATCGCTCGAAGAGGCTGTGAACAGCAGTAGTGCAGCTCCCGAAGGTGACAGACTAATCCAGATCCGGCTAAAGTTTTTGAATGAAACGGAGAGAATCGTCAGAGTCCGGCCTAGTGACACCATTGGACATTTTAAAAGGTATTTTTGTTCTACATGCTTTTAACTGCTATGCATCTGCCCTCTGGAACTCCCTCCACACCACCTCTGCCTTGTCCCCTCTCCCTGCTTTTACGTCTATCCTTTGTCTTCAACTGTACCTTTGAATCCCCTTTATGGCTTCCTTTCTCTCTTTTCCTATCTATATCCCTCCCTTTACCTCCCATTCTTCCTTTATAATTCTGCACTCTGAGACAATTGTTATAATTATCGGTGCATTATAAATGTAAATTGTTTCGGGTTTGCCAAGTAAATACACACGTTGTGCGATTTTACTGTACGCCGTGTATGGATGTTTAAAAAAAAAAGACCTAAAAATTCTGACGAGTTTTCATTTGTGCTGCGGTGCAAAACTTCAGCGCGGAGTTCCCCGGACAGGAGGAGCAGGTGCGGCTGATTTACCAGGGGCGCCTGCTGCACGACGACAGCCGGCCCCTCTCGTCGTACGGCCTGCACCACGGCTGCGTGCTGCACTGCCACATATCGCAGCGGCCCACGGCGCCTCCCTCCGCGGGCTGGAACGCCCGCATCAACGCCGCGCTCGCCGACCCCAACGCGGACGGCCTGAACTTGGGGGGGCTCATGCTGCCCCTGTTCCTGCTGATGCTCGTCGTGGTGTGGTACACGCGAATCGCCTACAAGCAGCTCTTCACCGCGCCTGCCACGGTCTCGCTGGTCGGGGTCACCGTCATCTTCAGCGTCATCGCCTTCAACACTTACAGACGATGAGCCCCAGAGCTCTGGGCCTTTGCAACGCTCGCGACGACGTCTTAAATGCTACACATTCGTTTTCTGTAGTGCCTGCCAGTGTTGAGACGCACGCGTACTGTGGGGCTTACGCAGCGGAGCTTAAATTCTCCGAAAAGACCCGACGCGGCCTGGCGTTGCGAGTCTTCGACGTCGCTCGCGCAGCGTCCTTTTGTGAGTGCGCGTTGTCGATGCCCCGCTGTGCCGGGTTACATCGTAACCTCGGAGGCTGCGCCATGTACCTTTTGCGCACCAGAATTTAAGCACTGCTGATAACGGTACTTGTAACAAAGCATGCACTTTTCACAGCGCCCATTAATTATATTATCAAACATGTCAAAAGGCCATTTTTATATGACTATAAAGGGGGCGAATGCTTGAATAATGCTTATGGGGATGCAATGAGGCAGACCTTCTGTTTGAATAACTTTAAACAGTACATGCACACGTTTTCACCTAATTATACTATATTTACTGCTTCAAAATTATTTTAAATAGCGCTTAAGTTCATATTTTTTATTATCAGTGTACTATAACAACGTGTATCCATGTTCAATGTGCACCCTAAGTCATTGGGGTGATGACATTTATCATGCGTAATCACTGGCGATTCCCATGGGCAGAGATAGGCTTCTCTTCGTAGGAGCGAGAACGTGAACTAGAGAAATTTAGCAAATTTCCATGCTTGCGAGTCGGCACCCGTGTGACTACTATGTATGACTCCTACTTGGAAAGCCAGCCAGCCGATGCAGAAACCAATGCAAGCAGGCACAAGGCCAGCAACTTAAGATGGCGTGCCTATTCGGGGGGCGGGGGACCCTTTGCATTTACAAGTGCCCTTTTTTTGTGTTTCTGCATGCAACTTGTGTTCATGACCACCTCGAGCAGCCGGCAGTCCATTATGTAAACAGTGGTGTGCAGGGATAAAGCCCCCTCACCTCCCCCGGGCTTTCTCTGTTCATCCCCTTTCCAATCCCCATCCACTCTCCTCCGTCGCCCATTCCCCCGGGAGGCCGAATGACTGGGCCAAGCAAGGATGCGTCTTCGTTATGCAGTGGTCTGGGTGAGGTAAAAGGTTATCGGGATGGAGTTCAAAGCAGTGTTTTAAAACTTCGTCTTTAACAATAAATAATGTAATTGGAGTTGTTATGTTTGAATAAAATATTTCTGTAATGAGCCTTTCCATTGTGTTAATACAACATGCTTTGGTTGTTGAGGCAGTGAAGTTGTGTGGCCATACTTTAATGACCACTAGCATTGTCACCTTATTAAGGTTGTCTGATCAGAGCGCCAGCTCTTGGCTTACCGAGCTACGCGTGATGTCACGAATCTACTAGCAGTCAAGGGAAAACCGCGGACCTCGTTTTGGCCACTTGATACTTGTCTATAAAATGATTTGACACCCAAGTAGTAAACAACTGTTGGATTACATTCAAATGTTTTCCAATGTTGCCTCATTAAGGTGACACTTGTTGCCATGCTAGCACTTTAGAATGTATTTTTATTGTTGTCGAGAGGAAAGCCATCTTATGCCTTAATAGATATGGGCAATTGTATATACATTGTTGCTGCCAGTGCATTTACTATAAGCAACTTTGTATGCCCATGGCAAGTAAAAAATGTTGAAAATTGAAAAATTGGGACCTTTTTGCCAGTATCAAAAGTATGAAAAAAATAATAGATTTTACCCTTTCTGGCAATAAAACAGGTTAAGATGTTTAAACACCAAATAGAAACCTTTAGCAAGGAATCAAGTCTGCATTAACCACACAGTACTTGTGGTTAACATGCTCTGATAATGAATTGTCTACGAAACTCATTGGCCTACACCAGAGACGGCCTTCTTTAGCGTCTAAAGAAGGCTGGTGGAGGCCAATCAGTTTCAAAGACGGTGCATATATTATCAGAGCATGTTTGTTTGCATGCTCAAGCACTGTGTGCTTAATGCAGACTTGATTTCTTGCAAAAGGATTATTTGGAGTTTGAACATCTTACACGTTATTTCCAGAGGGTAAAACCTATTTTTATCTATGGCAAAAGATTGGTCTACAAAGCACACTATCGGGTCCATGTGACCTGGGATCTGATTGCAAGTTGCCATATCGGTTGCCCACTGTGGCAATCGGATTTTCCTAAATTAAGGCAACCATTTTTTAAAGTGTATATACATAAATCATATAGCAACTAATGCTGATGTGTTCTTAAAAATGCTCCTGGTGTATCATCTTTAACATGCAGCCATATCAGCTTCTTCACTGGGGGCAACCATTGAGGACTGATGGATGCATCGGGTGCTGGGGAAGACACTGGAGGAGCTGTGATGGAAATAGGTGTAGCGTACTCTGCAAGCTGCATATTTTATTGTAGTGAGAAGCTACCGTAATGTTAAAAATCTACAGTTCTTTGCAATGACCATATATAATTTCCTCACCACTCCAAGGAGTACAAATGGGAGAACACTGGTAGTCAGAAAACACTACAAGAGGATAAATCATGCTCAAGTTCGCACAGATGGGTACATGACCTCCGATTTCTGTACTGCCACAATACCAGCAGCCCAGTTCTGCCTTTACAAACAAAACCAGCCATGAAATAAAAGTTCGTTAACAGTGGCTTTTTCCATTTACGTAATCTTTTATTTGTCAAATTTGTAATGTTTTACAATCCACAAAGCATTACATGGTTTCAAAACAGAAATTCACACCACAAAGCAGGTATTTCTAGACTCGTGTGTGTGTGTGGCATCCTGTATGCTCTGCTCAACCAACTACAAAACCTGGCCTGGAAAAAAAATTCTATACCCTTTCACTGAACAGGACTGGTAACTTTGCCAAACACTTTTAACTTTCGCGTGTGCATTTACCATAGTATGTAAAAAGAAAAACTTTTCCTAACATATGCCAAGAAAACAACTGCACCCTCCGTGCAATCCCGACACCTCAGTTGTAGGTCATGTAGCGAGGGGTGGCGCTGAACTTGGCGTAGGACTTTATCACTTTGTTGACGGCCTCCAGGAAATCCTTCTCGGTGGCCACCTTGCGGCGCGCGCGGATGGCGAACATGCCGGCCTCGGTGCACACGCTGCGGATCTCCGCTCCGGTGCTGTTGGGGCAGAGTCGCGCGAGCAGCTCGAAGCGAATGTCCCTCTCCACGCTCATGGAGCGCGCGTGGATCTTGAAGATGTGCGTGCGGCCCTCGAGATCTGGCAGCCCGAACTCGATCTTGCGGTCGAGGCGGCCGGGGCGCATGAGAGCGGGGTCGAGCGTGTCGGGCCGGTTGGTGGCCATGAGCACCTTGATGTTTCCGCGCGGGTCGAAGCCGTCCAGCTGGTTGATGAGCTCCAGCATGGTGCGCTGCACCTCGTTGTCGCCGCCGGCGCCGTCGTCGAAACGCGCCCCGCCGATGGCGTCGATTTCGTCGAAGAAGATGAGGCAGGCCTTCTTGGTGCGCGCCATCTCGAAGAGCTCGCGCACCATGCGGGCGCCCTCGCCCACGTACTTCTGCACCAGCTCGGAGCCGATGACGCGGATGAAGCACGCATCGGTGCGGTTGGCGACGGCGCGCGCGCACAGCGTCTTGCCCGTGCCCGGCGGCCCGAAGAGGAGCACGCCCTTGGGCGGCTCGATGCCCAGGTTGACGAAGCGCTCGGGGTGCAGCAGCGGCGTCTCCACCACCTCCCGCAGCTTTTCGATCTGCTCCTTGCAGCCACCCACGTCGCTGTACGTCACGTCGGGCTTCTCTTCCACCTGTGCGGTGCCACGCGGCAATGACGAGAGAGTCGTGAATGAATACAGGTATCACAGCTGGTCGAAAGGATGTAAAATCCGTGGTCTCTTGAGGCCTCAAGAGCAATTCTATCTTAATGGAAGAGATTCGATGAGCACCCCCATTTTAGTTTTATTTGTATTAAACCCAGGTCTCATTCCTGTCTCAGTGGACTGTCACCTGATGTAAGAGACCTCTCACAAATGACAGTGCATTATGTCCGATACACAACTCGGGGTTATCTTGGAGATGTCACCTCATCTCTCCGAGCCCAATGGTTCACAGTGACCCATGGTCGTCTCTATCACATTCTTCACCAAATCCCAACGTTTATAATGCACATTGCTCACCATATAAGATGGTATCCTGAGCCCCATAATTCACCATGATACCATACCACATGGTCCACAATTGTTCACCATGTCCCATGGTTCACCATGCATCTTCTTTCACCATAATTCATAACCCCCACGTTCCACACCATATCGCACCTCTGATTAGCACGGTTGCATACGTACGGTGCGAAAGAAGTTCAAGATACGTACATACATAACAGGCCAGACGTGCAACAGCAAGCAGAAACATCACCTGCATCATGGTAACAGTGGGGTCGATCTTGGGCGGCAGTGGGATGTGGATCTGGTACTTGTTCCTGTCCACGCCGACCCTCATGCCCTCCTCGATGTCCGTGGGTGCCACCTGGTCGCCCAGGTCAACCACGAACTTGGCAAATTGCTTCACATTGATTATGTACTTGGCGTCTTCACCCTCGGCATTGATGATCTTGGTGCAGCGGGCCACCTGCAAGTAGCGTTGCAACAAAATCATGTTTTGCGATGCGATATTTCACATGTCGACTGTTGCAATGTCAGTTAACCGTAAGTTTGTAATTGTATTTTTTAAAAAAACCCTTGGGTTAATTTGGCCGGTTTTCTATAGGGCGAGTCCTTTATAGCAATACAGCCTTAAAGTAACTTTCACTCATATTTGGTCATCTTTCCAGGTTTTGTGACGGCATGATAGACGGAGATAATGAATTAACTTAAGCTTTCAACCTCATTTGGAAAGCATACAAAATGGAAATACTCTAATTATCTTCGTGGATTTATTTTATCTAAGTACAGACACGATATTCGTCCGTTTGGGCGTTAGATGAAATATTTTGGGACATCACTTATTTGGTTTTTGTGCAGGGTTAGGGATAAAGTATTGATTTGGTTAGGATTTATGGCAACAGGTTAAAATGTAGGGGATAGGATTTTGGGTTGGGGTTAGAGTTGAGTGTGAAGGCTTAGGATGTATGGCAAGCGTCGATAGCTTTTAGTGGTTGGGTTTGTGGGGTTACAGACTGCAGTAAAAGAGAATGTTTTGTCACGAATCTGCAGGGACAAAATAATAGGATCGGCCTTAAATTACGCCGCACCTCCACCAACATCTCGTGACACAGCAGGGTTTATTCCGCAAGCCTCTGGTCCCAAGTTGTTTCTCCCTATAAACAAATGCGCCTTGATAATACCCGCCTGGAAAGCCAATTAATTGGCTGATGGCCTAAACCCATATTTGTACTTATGTGCGGAGACAATCCGACTTGTGATTTTATATACGTAATGTATTATAGACGTGCCGCCAACCTGCAGGGGCTGCTCGCTTTGCAGGGTCTGCTTGTCAGCGGCCAGGTCCCAAAGTGCAGGGGGAGCCAGCCCAGTGTCAGACTCCTTGATGCCCGTGAGCTCGTTGATTTTCTTGAGCATGGACTGCACGTCTTCCTCCGCCTGCTTGGTGAGGCGGCTGTAGGCGCTCTGCCCGTAGGTCTTGAGCAGGGCGATATCGCCCTCGTCCAGGGAGCGGATCACTCGCTCACCCTCGCCATCCTCGCCGCCCTCCTTGGCCGAGTCCTTGGCCTTCACCTTGCGCTGGTCGCTGCCCAGGTAGTCCGGCATGGTTGTGTCGGGCGTGGGAGAGCGGTGGTGGTGGTGGTCACGCAAATGGGAGATGTGCAGCTAAGTCAGAGCAGGTCGGTGGTGGCACTATCTGTGGAGGAGGGGGGGAGACTCAGAACTAGGAGAGACCAAGAGAAAGACTCGGGGGAGACTCAAGAAAGGCTCGGTACTAAGAGTGAGAGACGGAAGAAGCAGAGAGACCGCTTGTGAGACGGGAATTCGAGGATTCTACGAGACTCGACTCGGAGACTCCGGAGAGGGCCTCCCGCCCAATACGAGTCCCGGAGACTCTGAGAGAACAAGCGGGAGACTCTGGGAGACTCCGACCGAGAAAGAAACTCGTAGAGTTTGTGGCACTCTGCGACGAGGGGGCAGCGGAGGCAATGACGGAGCAGAACCACGGCGACACGGGCCAGAAGTCGCGCGCCGATGTCGTCGCCGGATGCACTCGCGGTGACGTCACCGTCGGCGGAAGTACGTCATCGTGCTCGTGAGCCGGCTTGATGACGTCACGCAACAGTGTAAGCAGATATTGCCGCGCAGCGTGGTGGAATGACGTCTCCGCGAGCGGGCTCGATGACGTCCCGCAACACTCACGCACGATATTACCGCGCAAAGTCGGGGGGAATGACGTCATCGGGCTAGCGAGCCGGGTTGATGACGTCACGAAATCCCCATGCCAGACATCGACGTTCGGCGGAGTGACGTCACGGGCCCGCCTTATGTACGTGACGTCGCCTCAATGCGACGACAGGGGGGAGAAATTTGCGTTCGGTGACGTCACGACGTGATGACGTCATCGATGTTGCTGCTGTCCATGCGTTAATTAGTGGAGTTGATTGAGCGGTGAGCTCTCCAACACACAAACATCACTGGCTGTTGTTACCGTACACGCCTATAGTACACGTGGACAGACTTATACCCTTTGGTCTATCCACTGCTGGATAAGGGCCTCCCCGCGCCGCGTGCGGGCCTACTGAACGCCTGTGAAAAAGAGCTTGATAGCTCATCGGATTCCTCCGGTAGAAGTATTCCGGGTCGTACGGGTACGACACCAAGGTCGGTCAGTGCGGGTTTGTGAAAGTGCGGTGCCTCGAAGTGCACCTAGCCTGGCACGAGCGCCGTGGTGACGTGACCGCCGCTTCGTGGTGAACGGCGGTTGTGAAAGCGGTGGGAGCATAGAAGTACCGTACAACGCAAGTTTCTACAGTGTTTGACTGTAGTATGCTGTGCTATATTCTGCACGCTTATACAGTATGTATAGATGTGTCATGTTCCATTATGTATACTGGGTGTGTTGTAAAAGTGTTGCCTCGAAGTGCACCGAGCCTGGTACGAGCGCTACGGTGTGTGTCTGCCGCACAGAGATGGACAAAAGGAGTCGTCCCCGTGTACAGGGGGGATGGGCGACGCCAGCCGCCAACAACAAATCTCGTCCACCTGCAGGTTCCTCTGTTACAGTCACCCCTAGCGAGCATACACCACCTATCAGTCACCCCTAGCCTCGTCCACCTATCAGTCACCCCTAGCCTCGTCCACCTATCAGTCACCCCTAGCCTCGTCCACCTATCAGTCACCCCTAGACTCGTCCACCTATCAGTCACCCCTAGCCTCGCCCACCTATCAGTCACCCCTAGCCTCGTCCACCTATCAGTCACCCCTAGCCTCGTCCACCTATCAGTCAGCCCGAGCCTCGTCCACCTATCAGTCAGCCCGAGCCTCGTCCACCTATCAGTCACCCCTAGCCTCGTCCACCTATCAGTCACCCCTAGCCTAGTCCACCTATCAGCCAGCCCGAGCCTCGTCCACCTATCAGTCACCCCTAGCCTCGTCCACCTATCAGTCACCCCTGGCCTCGTCCACCTATCAGTCACCCCTAGCCTCGTCCACCGTTCAGTCAGCCCGAGCCTCGTCCACCTATCAGTCACCCCTAGCCTCGTCCACCTATCAGTCACCCCTAGCCTAGTCCACCTATTAGTCAGCCCGAGCCTCGTCCACCTATCAGTCAGCCCGAGCCTCGTCCACCTATCAGTCAGCTCGAGCCTCGTCCACCTATCAATCACCCCTAGCCTCGTCCACCTATCAGTCACCCCTAGCCTCGTCCACCTATCAGTCACCCCTAGCCTCGTCCACCTATCAGTCACCCCTAGACTCGTCCACCTATCAGTCACCCCTAGCCTCGCCCACCTATCAGTCACCCCTAGCCTCGTCCACCTATCAGTCACCCCTAGCCTCGTCCACCTATCAGTCAGCCCGAGCCTCGTCCACCTATCAGTCACCCCTAGCCTAGTCCACCTATCAGCCAGCCCGAGCCTCGTCCACCTATCAGTCACCCCTAGCCTCGTCCACCTATCAGTCACCCCTAGCCTCGTCCACCTATCAGTCACCCCTAGCCTCGTCCACCTATCAGTCAGCCCGAGCCTCGTCCACCTATCAGTCACCCCTAGCCTCGTCCACCTATCAGTCACCCCTAGCCTAGTCCACCTATTAGCCAGCCCGAGCCTCGTCCACCTATCAGTCAGCCCGAGCCTCGTCCACCTATCAGTCAGCCCGAGCCTCGTCCACCTATCAATCACCCCTAGCCTCGTCCACCTATCAGTCACCCCTAGCCTAGTCCACCTATCAGTCAGCCCGAGCCTCGTCCACCTATCAGTCACCCCCTAGCCTCGTCCACCTATCAGTCACCCCTAGCCTCGTCCACCTATCAGTCACCCTTAGCCTAGTCCACCTATCAGTCACCCCTAGCCTAGTCCACCTATCAGTCACCCCTAGCCTAGTCTACCTATCAGTCAGCCCTAGCCTCGTCCACCTATCAGTCAGCCCGAGCCTCGTCCACCTATCAATCACCCCTAGCCTAGTCCACCTATCAGTCACCCCTAGCCTAGTCCACCTATCAGTCAGCCCGAGCCTCGTCCACCTATCAGCCAGCCCGAGCCTCGTCCACCTATCAGTCACCCCTAGCCTCGTCCACCTATCAGCCACCCCTAGCCTCGTCCACCTATCAGTCACCCCTAGCCTCGTCCACCTATCAGTCACCCCTAGCCTCGTCCACCTATCAGTCACCCCTAGCCTCGTCCACCTATCAGTCACCCCTAGCCTCGTCCACCTATCAGTCACCCCTAGCCTAGTCCACCTATCAGTCAGCCCGAGCCTCGTCCACCTATCAGTCAGCCCGAGCCTCGTCCACCTATCAGCCAGCCAGAGCCTCGTCCACCTATCAGTCACCCCTAGCCTAGTCCAGCTATCAGTCACCCCTAGCTTAGTCCACCTATCAGTCAGCCCGAGCCTAGTCCGCCTATCATAGTCACCCCTAGCCTCGTCCACCTATCAGTAACCCCTAGACTGGTCCACCTATCGTAGTCACCCCTTGCATAGACCACTGATGTTAGTCACCCCTAGGCGAGACTACATTCAGGTACAGTACCTTTATCATAGTCACCTTAGCCTAGTACACCTACTGATACCTCTGGCATAGTCACCCCTGGTCTAGTCCACCTACATATACCTCGACGATGGCCACCCAGAGCTTATTAAACCGGCATGAACACAGGTGGAGGGAGGGAGCGGTGGTGCAGTGGTTAGGGGCCGTCCATAAATGACGTCACGCACCTAGGGGGAGGGGGGGGGTCAGACATTTGTGACGATGTGTGACGAGGGGGGGGGGGTTGATAAATGTGACGTCACATCAAAATGCGCAACTTTAAATAAATATAGACAACACGTTCTACCTAATTAAATAGACTTTTTAATAAATGTTTTATCCTACAACATCTAAGTGCAGCGCCACATTAAATACGCACTACAATGACAATAGTTTAAAGCGATTTGAAGCATGTTTTATTTTTGGAGGGGGGGGGCAGAACTTTGTGACGTCATATTTGAGGGGGGGTCTGACTTGTTGTGACGCCGTGTGACGAGGGGGGGGGTCAAAAATCGCGTGACGTCATTTATGGACGGACCCTTAGCACATTGCACTAAATGCAATTCCTGGTCATCGTTGGCGAGTGATTTCTGTATCGGTCCCAGGTGCCCGGAGAGGTCTTCATCAGCGAGTGGATTGACAACGGGCTGAAACCTTTTGTAATCATCAACAGTTTCTGGTGAACACAGGCGTGAATTGTGACAGCATTGTTTTACTTCGTGTTCCTCTAGCCTCTCAACAAGTGACAAAGGCACCCATCTCTGCACCAAAGCAGAACAACGCCGAAACTCAAGATGGGAAGTTTGTGTATGTGGACCCAGAGAAAGTGAGTATCATGCTAAGACAATTGTACATTAAAAGCCACGTGTTTCAAGCTGTTTGGGAAACATAATTATCCTTGTGTAGGTACATAAGCTAGTGGTGGGTCACACACAATGCTGTGAAACTCCCTTCCCGTGGGTGTTGGCGTACCAGACCTTGGCTTGCCAGGTAAAAGCTGTACAGAAAGTGTGGACTTATCTCCATCTTTCCCATTTGTTTGGGATAGAGCGCTGCCCCCTCGCATGCGTGGGGTTTCTGCAGGTGCTCCAGTTTACTCCCACAAGTATAAATACTTGTGAATTTACTGCGTGTTTGCGGATTGCACAACATTGTGTAATGCTGCAGGAAATGATGTTTTATCACTATTATAGGCTTGATGGTGCCTGCCTGTCATCCAGCGGTTAGGAGGCAAGGATGGGTGGCTCACTCAGATTCATGAAACTTCCTAACTTGAGAGACAGCGTGGAAATGTCAGTACAGCAAATCCTATAAGCAATATAGGCAGGCTACACTAGACTCAGCCGTGTTACGTATCTTGGTGCACGAAGGGAGAGGATAATTATTGAACAATAGATTGGGTACATCTTGACAAGAGATAGAGACTCAGGCGCCAGGAGTTATGGTGACATGCATCCCTCAACCTATTTGCGTAACTCCAGACTTTGAGCCATTGTATAATGCTTGTATCGTGCCTGTTAATATGCCTTTTAAATTTCGATTTAAAGCTTTCGTGACTGCAGGGATTCATCTTCTTGGTTCTTTCGGTAAAGTCACGTAGAATGGAAATAAAATAATGAAATAAAATAATAAAATTCTCACGACGTTTCGGCCACAACACAAGGCCACTTTGTCGTGAGAATGTTATTTCATTATTTTATTTCCATTCTACGTGACTTTACCGAAAGAACCAAGAAGATGCCTTTTAAAGTTTACTTTTAATGTGTTAACAGCCTCTGAGAAGAGCACCTGATGTAAAAGTCATTAAGTGAGTAAAATCCGCACATTGTTTTTTTTACAGAAATACAAACAACTATCTCAAGTAGACTACGGTATTAAAATCTAATGTGCATTTAATTGTGACAATGACATTTGTGATTTGTGCTTTCCTTCTAAAGCGCGGCTGGTGACTACGAGATCAGCACGGGCCCTACTGGTGTGTCCAGGTAGGAATTGACGTTGATGTTCATCGGCGCATTGTACGGCCCATCTGTATATTTGACAATTTTGACAATTTGTCATCGCCATCTTCTTGACCTCTGTTATTTCCTTGGCATATTTTTTACGCGAGGTCTCAAATTGTGTAACACACATTGTACTGCTCAGTATAAGACGTACAGCCAGTGTATAGGAATAGACATTGTTACGTGTGTGTGTGTGTGTTTATACAAGTGTACGGTTGTTTGACATATATACACACACCCACACACATAGCTTACTGGCTTGGGGAGGCCTTCATCCAGCAGTGGACTGACCAGGGCTGTGCGAATGTGCTGGGTGTCTTGCAGCCTGCGGCTCTTTCCTGGATTTGTTGAGCGCGCCGAGGCCGACTGGATGTTCGAGCAGCTTGCGGCCGAGATCCCATGGGGGCAAAGGACGTACACCAAGCACGGTGCCGCTCGCCGTCTGTGCATGATTTCACCTGGCGTGTGCCTCTCGGCCATCCATTCATCACGCATGGTCAGCGAAGGGCTGATTGCGCCAACGTGTGACCTCTTGCGACAGCATTCGCTTAAACTGCTCTTGCTGCTGTACGCCGGCGTCTCGAGTGATTTGTCTGATCCACGGATCACGGGGGGTGTGGGGGGCAACCACGGTGGGTGGCGCCATTCCTTTGAGGGTCGCAGTTCCACTTCGGACGTCAACCGCCAGCCGGAGTGAGCGCGTTATTTGCTGCTGGAGTTTTCGCATCAAGAAGGGGCGACGTGTCCACAAAGTGACACAGCCGTCTCCCTCGAACTAAGCTCTCAATCGCTCGGAGACCGGTTGTAGATGCAATGATGACATTTCTGATGAGGTCTCATCCAGCAGTGTTTCATATTATCATGGTCATTGTGTAAATGCCTGCAGCTCAGGGCCAAGCTTCAGCAACTTTTGGATTCTTTGGGATTATTGTGAATGCCAGATGCCCATTTAAACTATAAACTAAATATTTTTTTTATTTTACCAGGTAAGGCCCACTGAGCTATATAGCTATTTTTCGGAAGCGACCTGGCCACAAATGATATCTCAACGAAGTGGCTTATCACGTGACAATGTATAGCCCCCGAATACTCTTTTAAACGCGTGATGTTTCTCAATGTGGAGATCAAAACTGGAGGACCCAGAGAAAAAGCCACATGGCCACGGACGATGATGAAAACTCCAAGTATACAGGCGTCAGGGTTGAGATCGAACCCATGAACTCCTGTATACCAGGCGAGGTAGTTAACATCTCGCCACGGGAGCACCCATATGGCCAGACTATGGTTTGTTTAGGATCCTTAGAAAAAATTAATGCCCGAGGCTTAAAAGACCAAACTTAGGCATCTATAGGATTCTTACGGAGGTACTTCACAGAGTGGCATTCCTAGTTCCTAGTTCGTACTAACTAAGCATCACATAGTTGTTATTAACCTCGGGTCTTTGAACTTGTCATGTGGAGCAGGGGTGACGAGTCTGGAGCCCCGGCTGACGTGCTGGTACGGGGATCATCCCTACACCTACTCGCGGCTCACCATGGAAGCCAACCCACATGTGAGTGTAAACGCTCGCACACAATCACAGCTTCAAGCAAACACTGTGCCTTCATGTGCACGTAGCAAATCATTACACCGAGTCCCCTAAAGAAATCTCTATTGTAGGTTGAGCGCCTCCTCTGGACAACTCTATTACCCAATGCTGGAGCTTGTCTTCAGGCACACGGCAACACAGGAAGATATTCCGCTGCAAAACAAATACAAAGTGTTATGATGACACTCGATTGTGTTTGCGGTCGACTTCCCATGCATTTTGTCAGCGGTTAAGGGATGCCTGCACAAGGTGGTACATGCACGGTAGTGCAACCTTAGTGCACACAATAAGTCTTTTCAAATTAAAATTTAAATAATGATAATGCTTTGAATGACCCAGAAAGGCTTCACTAAGTCTCATAACTTTTTATCAGCAGGGTCCTGCATTGCAATTTTTTAGCCAGTTTCTTTTATGCTTGCTGACGAGGGCCGGAAAGCGAGAACCCTTCAAGACCTCCTCCTCGTGTTCCTCTTGCCCTCGTGTGTGCGTGCCTGAGGCTAATAGAGCCACACTAAAGCACGCATAGGGTTCTTAAAGTCCAGTGGGAATGCCCAAGCGCAAGAACACCAGATGAAGGCATCTTTAGGATATTTTTTAGGGTTCACTTTTAATATTCAAGACTCTAAAAGCCAGGGTAAGGCATATTTAGCATTATTAAGATTCAGTGTTTATGCCAGAGGCCCTGCGAGCTAAACCACGGCACATTTACGATTCCTTCTCGCCCAAAATGAGGCCACTTGAAGACCCTTTCCCTCCTGTTGCTCTCGTCCAACGTCTGTGTCCCTGTGTTGCCGGCGGCGTCCCCTAGTGGCATCCGCTGGTGACGATGCTGCGCGACCGCATCGCGGAGGTCACGGGGGTGCAGTGCAACTCGGTGCTCGCCAACTGGTACCGCAACGAGCACGACAGCGTGGACTGGCACTGCGACGACGAGCCCGACCTGGGCCCCCAGCCGTCCATCGCCTCCCTCAGCTTGGGCGAGATGCGCTCCTTCGAGCTGCGCAAGAAGCCCCCGCCGGTGGGTGAATCGTGCGTGGGCACTAGACGACTCGTTCGTTAAATCCTTCGCTCGTTCGTTTGTTCGGCTCTCTCGATTTGTTTTTTGGGTTCTGCCACCTGTTGCCTGGCGTGATGTCCGACGTTTCGCTGCGCTCGCTTCTTCTTGGCCACAGAGACTGCATTGGTATACTTGGGGGCCGCACAGAACCGGAAATTCAGTTCGTGAAATAAGTTGCCAGCAAGCGTATAGAAAAGATCGGACATTGTGCCGAACAATACGCGATACAGCTCATAAACCCATCAGAGGGTGACGTGTTAATTGCTCATCATTTCACGTGTTTATGCCTTATACATCCCTTTGCTATAATGCAACTTTAACAGGAAAACCATCAACAGTGCACGTCGCTGAGTCTTGAGGCTCCGTTTGAGGAGCGTCCCTTAATACAAAAGTTCAATGTCAAAGGGCCACTTGTAGAGCAGTGACGCGAGCAAAGAGCGATGTTCTGGAGTCGTTCACGTTGGCACACGATTCTGTGCCAGGAGGATGAAGGGGACTTCACCTACGTGGAGCGTCTACGCGTTCCTCTAGGCCACGGCGATCTCATTCTCATGTTCGGGGCCTTGCAGGACGACTGGCAGGTAAGCACTACAGCCTGCCACACGCAAGAAGAAGAAGACCCCCCCCCCTCCGTAAAGCCTTTCACAGACTGTTGGGGCAAGTGCCGTTAGCGAGCATCTATGAAGAAGGCCGGCACGGCACACGACAGGGTGGGCGGCCAACACCACGTCCGGCCACCTACACAAAAACACATGCTTACTTACTCATAGGCACGTGTACACTCAGACTTACACAAATGCGCTTACATATTCTTAGCTCTTTCGGTAAAGTCACGTTGAAGGGAAACACTAAAATAATAAAATATATATAAAACAATAAAAATTCTCACGACGTTTCGACCATAACACAAACGGTCGTCATCAGGTGTGTCGGTTTGCATAAATTTATTGATTTTTAAACGGTGTATTTATTTCTTTATAAAAAAACGTCAGCGCCACGCGCGGCGATTTGGCAGTTTATTTAGAAGAACTAGTCCATCTATGTTCTGAAAAGAGGAGGGGGGAGACGAAAAATTAATGTATGCTGTCTGAAAGCCACTGTAAGCATGAACAATCAATTAAGACCTGAAGTGGTTTATCAAATCTTTCCAATGATTGCTAAGCCAGAATCCATCTTCTCGGTTGAAATTGTCTCTGTGCTTGTATATGTGGATAGCCTCATGAACGAATCTCTCATGGTAGCCAGATGGCTTACAAAGAACCTCTGTCTTGGAAAAGTCAATGTCATGTGAGCCTACTGAATTATAACAATGATCTGCCACGGCCGAGGTGTTGGTCCTACCGTGTTTAAGGTCTGCTTTGTGTTCACGAATGCGGTCCGAGACATGGCGTTTGGTTTCTCCAATGTAACTACTACCACAGAGGCAACTTAGTTTGTAGACACCAGGGTACTGTATGTAGTTACATTGGAGAAACCAAACGCCATGTCTCGGACCGCATTCGTGAACACAAAGCAGACCTTAAACACGGTAGGACCAACACCTCGGCCATGGCAGATCATTGTTATAATTCAGTAGGCTCACATGACATTGACTTTTCCAAGACAGAGGTTCTTTGTAAGCCATCTGGCTACCATGTGAGATTCGTTCATGAGGCTATCCACATATACAAGCACAGAGACAATTTCAACCGAGAAGATGGATTCTGGCTTAGCAATCATTGGAAAGATTTGATAAACCATTTCAGGTCTTAATTGATTGTTCACGCTTACAGTGGCTTTCAGACAGCATACATTAATTCTTCGTCTCCCCCCTCCTCTTTTCAGAACATAGATGGACTAGTCCTTCTAAATAAACTGCCAAATCGCTGCGCGTGGCGCTGACGTTTTTTTATAAATAAGTACACCGTTTAAAAATAAATAAATTTATGCAAACCGGCACACCTGATGACGACCGTTTGTGTTATGGTCGAAAAACGTCGTGAGAATTTTTATTGTTATATATATTTTATTATTTTATTGTTTCCCTTCAACGTGACTTTACCGAAAGAGCTAAGAATATGAATGTCTGCAGTCACGAAAGCTTTAAATCAAAATGCGCTTACGTGCATACATGCATAAAAATAAACACGCGCGTGCGGACACCAATGTACAGTGAGAGAAAAAAGTATTTGATCCCCTGCTGATTTTGTACGTTTGCCCACTGACAAAGAAATGATCAGTTTATAATTTTAATGGTAGGTGTATTTGAACAGTGAGAGACAGAATAACAACAACAAAATCCAGAAAAACGCATGTCAAAAATGTTATAAATTTATTTGCATTTTAATGAGGGACATAAGTAATTGACCCCTCTGCAAAACATGACTTAGTACTTGGTGGCAAAACCCTTGTTGGCAATCACAGAGGTCAGACGTTTCTTGTAGTTGGCCACCCGGTTTGCGCACATCTCAGGAGGGATTTTATCCTACTCCTCTTTGCAGATCTTCTCCAAGTCATTAAGGTTTCGAGGCTGACGTTTGGCAACTCGAACCTTCAGCTCCCTCCACAGATTTTCTATGGGATTAAGGTCTGGAGACTGGCTAGGCCACTCCAGGACCTTAATGTGCTTCTTCTTGAGCCACTCCTTTGTTGCCTTGGCCATGTGTTTTGGGTCATTGTCATGCTGGAATACCCATCCACGACCCATTTTCAATGCCCTGACTGAGGGAAGGAGGTTCTCACCCAAGATTTGACGGTACATGGCCCCATCCATCGTCCCTTTGATACGGTGAAGTTGTCCTGTCCCCTTAGCAGAAAAACACCCCCAAAGCATAATGTTTCCACCTCCATGTTTGACGGTGGGGATGGTGTTCTTGGGGTCATAGGCAGCATTCCTCCTCCTCCAAACGCGGCGAGTTGAGTTGATGCCAAAGAGCTCCATTTTGGTCTCATCTGACCACAACACTTTCACCCAGTTGTCCTCTGAATCATTCCAGATGTTCATTGGCAAACTTCAGACGGGCATGTATATGTGCTTTCTTGAGCAGGGGGACCTTGCGGGCGCTGCAGGATTTCAGTCCTTCACGGCGTATTGTGTTACCAATTGTTTTAATGATGACTATGGTCCCAGCTGCCTTGAGATCATTGACAAGATCCTCCCGTGTAGTTCTGGGCTGATTCCTCACCGTTCTCATGATCATTGCAACTCCACGAGGTAAGATCTTGCATGGAGCCCCAGGCCGAGGGAGATTGACAGTTATTTTGTGTTTCTTCCATTTGCGAATAATCGCACCAACTGTTGTCACCTTCTCACCAAGCTGCTTGGCAATGGTCTTGTAGCCCATTCCAGCCTTGTGTAGGTCTACAATCTTGTCCCTGACATCCTTGGAGAGCTCTTTGGTCTTGGCCATGGTGGAGAGTTTGGAATATGATTGATTGCTTCTGTGGACAGGTGTCTTTTATACAGGTAACAAGCTGAGATTAGGAGCATTCCCTTTAAGAGTGTGCTCCTAATCTCAGCTCGTTACCTGTATAAAAGACACCTGGGAGCCAGAAATCTTTCTGATTGAGAGGGGGTCAAATACTTATTTCCCTCATTAAAATGCAAATCAATTTATGACATTTTTGACATGCGTTTTTCTGGATTTTGTTGTTGTTATTCTGTCTCTCACTGTTCAAATAAACCTACCATGAAAATTATAGACTGATAATTTCTTTATCAGTGGGAAAACGTACAAAATCAGCAGGGGATCAAATACTTTTTTCCCTCACTGCATACACACTTATACACGGAGACATATGCCCTTGAAGATATCTGTACTGCCACTTATCAAGTTTTCAAATACCGATTGTATCGTTCAATTAAATTAGTTTTGTATTTTTATATTAGATTATATCGAGTTTGGGCAGGATACATCGCTAGAAGGGGGGATGATTGCCGATGGACGAGACTGGTGATGTAATAGCAGCCAAAGGAGGGGACACACCCGGGATGACTACCACGGCTGACGTGGAGCGGTGAGGTGAGCTCCTCTGCGGGAGCGATATGGATTACGGCGTCACAAGACCGTGACGGATGGCAACAATGCAGGGATTCCTTCATCTAGCAGTGGATAGATCATGCCTGTTGCTATTAATGATTATAAAAGCTTAGGGCTGAAAACAACCCAGTATACTTATGACGATCCCCACCTGACCCCCCCCCCCGTGTCCCCCTGACAGCATCGAGTTCCCAAGGAATACCACAGCCGGGCTGGCAGAATAAACCTCACCTTCCGCACCATCTACCCCAACAAGACCGCACACACCTGAACAAGGACGTCTCCCTGGGCCGAAGATCGTCCAGAATGGATGTCGGCGTCAGGCCCGTTGGCATCTGAGACGTTCACTTACCAAGGAGGTGGCTGGCTGGCTGAGAAGGCAAATGACCGTGTCCTGGCCAGGAATCAGACTCTGGTTGTCAAGGTCATAGCGCACTGTGCGTAAACCCAATGCACCACCGCTTCACTCATGTTTCCATTGTAAGGCTGTGTTCATGATGGATGTGTTGATATACAGTGCATAAAAAACACACATTTTTCAGAGAGGTAGGCAACTATTGGTTCCATATGCAGCCAGGAGCATTCCTCAGTGTTTTTTGAGACCACAGCTAGAATCACCTTCTCCGAGTTATCCTCGCCACCGCCTTGTCAACGTGTTGTTGCTTAAGCAATAAAGCCACACATCTGTAACGTTGTTACTACAGGAGGTGGCCAGATGGCTCAGGAATTAGAGCGCTGAGTTGACACTAGTGGGGTTCTGGGTTCGGATCCAGATACCGTCCACCTGTGAAGTTGCTATAAAACGACATTTACCTGGAAGATTGTGTGCGTGCTGCATTGATGTGCCTGAGTTAAAAGTTGCTTAATAACTGCCATTTATTTTTATAAAAGTCGCTTGCAAAAATCGAGAACATGGATTAACAGGTGGAAGTCTTTCCAAATGTTTGTGTAGCCAACCTGTAAAACAGGATGGATGCGTCCATAATAGAGGTTTTTGGTATTCTTAGCTCACGAAAGCTTTAAATCAGAGGTTTTTGGGTTAGATCGCTTAAATATAAATGTGTCGTTAAACTCGCCACCGCCCGACACAGCCAATTAGTGAGGGTATTCACGTAAACAAATTCGCTACTAGAACAGCACACTAGTGACTAACCTCCTTTGAAAGGATGAATATGTATATGGCCTTCATAACATATGGATTGAATATAATTTGGACACAATTAAGAATGTTCAATTTGAAATAAAGCTACACCTTATGGACTCTATTAAACTTCAGACAGTTATAATCGTGATGCAAACACGAAAACTGCATCACATGGTGGGAGCGGTGGCTGTTAAAGATAATTCCATATTGGAAATTTCTTTGTTTGCTCAAGTTAGCAAATCAAGGTTTCATCCAAATAAACCGATGCCTCATTGGATGAAACAAACTTTGGTGATGCTTCGTCCGGCAGCGGCGCACACCGCACCTCCGTTTAGCGCTGTTGGCTACGTGCGGTGCGAAAGAAGCTCAACATACACGCATTAAGCATACATACACCGCACCTCCGATTAGCGTGGTTGACTATGTACTGCAAGAAAGAAGTTCAACATACATATGTACAGGCGCAGTCAACGAAAAACGCTCAACGCATTCGTCAATAACAACTGTGGCTTTAAAAGGGAAACTATGAACGGTGACGTTTCGGGCAATGGCCCTTCATAGTGCATAGAGAGTCTAGAGAGACACGGCTTCGCTGTGCTGTGAGATTCTGCACATTGATTCGTACCTCGCTTCTGCGGATACTTGGAACCGGATTCCGCTGGCCCAGAAACAGCCTTGAAGCCGCACCAGATCATCGTATACGTGTGTTATGAAGATGGCCATTACCCGAAACGTCACCTTTTCTTTTGAGGCAGTGTTATTGATGAATGTGTAAAGTGTGTTATTTTTTGTGAGTCCTTTATTGGACACCCACTGTTGGGAGGTGCTTCGCATAGCTCCCCAAAGTGTTTTTGGAAGCATGTGGACATACCACATGCCACGTTGTTTTGGCTTCCAAACCACATTTCACATTCTTGACAGCTGGCGTTGCAAGGTACTGGAGGGTCAGAATCCAAGTCTCATTTGTGACCAGGCAGCAGACCCCTTGCTTGCCTCCTGTCGCTCAGATGGTGAGACTCCTCTCGATCGTGAACAGTCAACCACTGCCACCAGTCCACCACCACAGTCAACCACCACAGTCAACCACTGTCACCACATTCAACCACTGCCACCAGTCAACCACTGCCACCGCATTCAACCACCACAGTCAACCACTGTCACCACATTCAACCACCACATTCAACCACCACAGTCAACCACTGCCACCACAGTTAACCACCACAGTCAACCACTGCCACCACAGTTAACCACCACAGTCAACCACTGTCACCACATTCAACCACCATATTCAACCACCACAGTCAACCACTGTCACCACAGTCAACCACCACAGTCAACCACTGTCACCACATTCAACCACCACATTCAACCACCACAGTCAACCACTGCCACCATATTCAATCACCACAGTCAACCACTGCCACCACAGTCAACCACTGTCACCACATTCAACCACCACATTCAACCACCACAGTCAACCACTGCCACCACAGTCAACCACTGTCACCACATTCAACCACCACAGTCAACCACTGTCACCACATTCAACCACCACAGTCAACCACTGTCACCACAGTCAACCACCACAGTCAACCACTGCCACCACATTCAACCACCACAGTCAACCACTGTCACCACAGTTAACCACCACAGTCAACTACTCACCACAGTCAACCACTGCTTGCACATTCAACCACCACAGTCAACCACTGTCACCACATTCAACCACCAGTCAACTACTCACCACAGTTATCTACCACAGTCAACCACTGCCACCATATTCAGCCACCACATTCAACCACTGCCACCACAGTGAACCACTGCCACCACAGTCAACCACCACAGCCAACCACTGCCACCGCAGTCAACTACCACAGCCAGCCACCACAGTTAACCACTGCCACCACAGTCAACCACCACAGCCAGCCACCACAGTCAACCACTGCACACCACAGTCAACCACCACAGTCAACCTCCACCATCAATGATCCAATCCGATGGGGGGGATTCACTCACTCGCACAGCCGGATGGTGCGACCAAAAAGCCCATCATACCTGGTGGGTGCATACACCAGTTTCTAGTTTAGCAATTAAATCACGATGACGCTCGGAACGGTGGCACGGGTCGGGTTCGTTGCACTGTGTCGCAGGTGCCCCTAGCAGCTCAAGCCAGCAGGGGTCGCACGCGCAACAGTGACTCGTCCACGACTCCACGGACGCCACTGGATGACAGCAGGCGTCTGGGTGACAGCAGGCGTCTGGGTGACGACAGGCGTCTGCCATCCAAATCTGCAGGAAACTTTATACTCTGGCTCTTTCGGTAAAGCAACGTAGGTAGGAAAAAAAATCACGACTGCAGGAAACTGCTCTTGTCTTACGCGCAAAGTATTTCAAGGTGGCTACGCGCATTTAAAATTCGACAACTAAAGGTTGCTTGGTCATAATTCACAGGGACCCGTTTGTGCGCTTCAAGACTCGACGAGCGTTTATTCGCACAGGATAGTGAATGGAAGTTTCCACAGCAACAAAAAAAATGCGTTGAGCTCGAGCGTACGCGTACTTTGCACAGAGCCACCCGACGTGGATTCGCACCAAGAGCCACCCGCTGCTGGAGTGGATTTCGCAAATACAAGATTTGAAAACGTAACGCTTGTAGCGGGGGAGCTGCGTACCGCCGAACTGTTGATAAAAGGACAGATGTTTTATTGTTTTTGTTACCCCCGCGCTGTTTTATGCGTTGCACTCCAGTGGGCGGTGGATGGCTTTATTCAAGCAGAGGGACCTTTTGGGACGAGCGAATGCCATGGCACAGCAATGGGTAGAGAGCCCTCGTGGACACGTGGCCGTGCCAGGAAAGTGATATTTTTCAGCAAGCAAAGGATTCCTGCCTGCACGGCATGCGATGATGGGCCACCGCCTCACACCTGTGTTGACCGGTTGTTTTGGTGCGTCTGAAAGCAACTTCGGCAGTCGCTGGGACCAATTGCCGTTGCCCAAGAGGCGTACGGAACTCGTCGGCCTTCCAACAATGAGCACGATTGCTGTTGTAAAGTCCTGACGATTACCAGACAGTGTCACAGAAGAATATTATTCTTTGACGGCCACCCACACACATTGCTTTACGTGCGTGACTGCGGTCCGGGTACTACCGGGTGGGAGTGTGATGTGTCCTCGCTTTGTTGTGATCACGTTATTTTAGTTTTTGTAGTGAAACCGGGCAGAACACACACACACACAAAAACTCTTCTCGTCACGGAACATAAACCATCACGTGAACCCCGATCATCCTCGGAGCATCGAACAAAGACGATCACTGCACCGCATCCTTTCCGATGCGCTTCTGCGGCGGTCTTGAACGCTCTTGCGATATTACGAAGCCACTGGAGCTGTGCGCTTTAAAATCTACATTGAAAAATAATTTCTTTAAAACTGCTTTTTGTATGTAGTTTGTCGTCCTTCCCCCGCACCTCCGATGAGCACGGTCGGCTACGTACGGTGCGAAAGAAGTTCAACAGACTTACGTTACCCATGACCATGGCACTTCTAGCTGCAGGCCTCCCCAAGTCGTCGATGTCTCTCAGTCTGCTGATGCAACAATCCATCTCGCTATACTGCACATGATACGATAGTTCCAATGTTAGCAGCTTGTGATAATGGCTTGACATGTTACCGTGCAATAGAAATCGTCACTTATCGTTAAGCGGCGCTCACGTATCCTTTTTTTTAAACTGTGAAATGTCCAAGCGGCTCCGACAGATGGGGCTGATGTAGCAATAATTACACGTCTCTCACTGCTTGTCACCACACTGAAGTTCACCAGCCTCGACTCGAGACACACCAGCTCAGACTGCCAAAGAACATTCCACTTTGTGGCACTTCGTACGGTTCCACAATGCGTTTTATGGTCGCGCCGCGTGTCGTTCGGCGCGGTGTCCGACGTTTCGCGCCACGTTATTTTTTTCTTCCTCAAGGTGCTCGGTGGGAGCTTATTCAGGAGCGTCGGCGATCGTGCTGGAAAAGCACGCGGTACAATCCTAAAACTCCGATCGGAGCGCTGCGCTTGACGGCTGCGGAGAGCCCCACGAGGCACAACCGCGAAAATCCTGCGCAGCGGCACCTCGACGTCGACGGACAACTGCACAAAAGTTGAGCGACATCTGGCGGAAACAAACGCACTGTAGTAACAAACGGCAAATGAGATTAAAAAAAAAACCAGCGGAACGTCAGGACCACTGACGGACGGGGTTCAGGTCAGGAGGGAATTACGCAAACCAACAATGTTAAGTCCGGTAATAACGCTTGCGAGACGGGGGATGATTGTGAACGGTCGGTCACGTGGGGCTGCCCCGGGGGGCGAGTGGGCCCCTCGCGGCGGCAGGTCCCCGAGGAGGATGAACGACCCCGGCTGGAGAGGGTAAGCTGTCGCTGCACTTGCACGCGCGCCTGGCAATGCTACGCCACCGATGGCCAACGCCGGCTCAACGTCACCGCTGCAATCGGCGCACACCCAGGCGAGCCTGCTGCCTTGGCTATGCCACATTAAATAGTTTCACGAATGAGTTGATGTGTGTGGAATAGCCCGAATGGGTCTGTTCACACGCTTGTCAACACACTGCTGGATGAAGCCTTAGACGAAATATCGACAATGGGGTTGGTGAAGATGGGTGCAGGACTGAGGTTCAGATGTCACAAATTACTTTCGCTATGGCTGGGAATATAACTTGGGTCACCAATTTCAAAGCGGATTGTGTCGATCCACTGATGGTTGAAGGCCTCCCCGTTCCAGCTCAGTCTACGGGGATTGTTTGACCGTACTTCCCCATGCTGGTCAGCGTGGGTTGGTGTGATGGAGTTGCCTAAGGCTCGTTCGGGCATCACTCGCCACGGACGTTATCCATGGCCAGTAAGCGAACTTATTTCGCCAGGAAGGGTGAAACCTATTCTTATTTTTGATACTGGCAGAAAGGTCCCATGATATGGCTGCTCACCCCGAGGTATAAATGATATGGTGCGTGCATTGTCTTTGTACTGTTCGCTCTCTGGGCTGACACTGGTGAAACTAGGCCATGAAGAAGGCTGTTTGGTGTAGAGAACAATCAGTTTCAAAGACAATGCAATACATGATCAGAGCATGTTTTGTTTGCATGTTCACCACGAGTACTGCGTGTGGTTAATGCAGTCCCTTGATTCCTTGCAAAATGTTTCTATTGGGTGTCTGAACATCTTAACACAGCTCCTGTTTCATTGCCCTAGAGGGTAAAACCTCTTCTTATTTTTCATAAGCGAACTTTGGTCGCCGGTTTCAGAGACGGGTGTCTAAAAGACGCTGCGTCACCTCTGCCGTTCAAACGCCTCGCATTCTCAATGCTCAACATTGCCGAAGTAAAGAAGATTAATAACAAAGCTGCCTTTCACACTCAACACGCACGGGTTTTTTAAAAGTTTTTTTTTTATTTTCAGTGTAACAACCGCCGTGAAACCGACTCCTGCACGGGGCGAAACACTCGAGTGGTGGTGTTAGGGGTGGTGGTGTTAGGGGGTGGTGGGGGGGTGGTGGGGGTGGTGGTGGTGGTGGTGTTAGGGGGTGGTGGTGTTAGGGGGTGGTGGGGGGGTGGTGGGGGTGGTGGTGGTGGTGTTAGGGGGTGGTGGTGTTAGGGGGTGGTGGGGGGGTGGTGGTGGTGGTGGTGTTAGGGGGTGGTGGTGTTAGGGGATGGTGGGGGGGTGGTGGTGGTGGTGGGGGGTGGTAGTGGTGTTAGGGGGTGGTGGTGTTAGGGGGTGGTGGGGGGGTGGTGGGGGTGGTGGTGTTAGGGGGTGGTGGGGGTGGTGGTGTTAGGGGGTGGTGGTGTTAGGGGATGGTGGGGGTGGTGGTGGTGTTAGGGGGTGGTGGTGTTAGGGGGTGGTGGTGTTAGGGGGTGGTGGTGTTAGGGGGTGGTGGGGGTGGTGGTGGGGGTGGTGGTGGGGGGTGGTGGTGGGGGGTGGTGGTGGCGGGATGTCGACCTGGGTAGTGTAGCGGTCAGCGCGCTGCGCTGCAAACCTGGCGACCCGCTCACGGCCAACACCGGTGACGAATATCCGAACCGGTCCTGGGCCTCCCCTAGGTAGACTCAGCCTCAAATGAGTACCTGGTGCAATGTGTAAACATCGCCACTGGGGAGACAAAGGCGGCCGGGCGTAGTGCTGGCCACCCACCCCCTCGTGTGCCCGTGCCGACCTTCATAGCTGCTACTCGCTGACAGCACTTGCCCCAACACTCTGCTAAGGCTACACGGGGGATCTTTTAATCTTCGTTTTGTTTTTGTCGACCTGGGGACGGCTACTTTCATGCGCGGGCAAAGCCCCCCGGAAACCCCAACGAGCACGCGCACTCCCCACACTCGAGCTGCGAGAGCATTTAAAAAGTGGGGGGGGGGGGGGGGGGGACACATAAAGCAAAGCATGGGAAAAACAAAACAAAAACCCCGAAATGATGAACGAAGCAAAGTGGTGCCGACTGCACCGAGCATCTTCTTGTTTCCTCTGGTCGTAAAAAGAAGAGAGATGAGGAGGGAGGGAGGGAGAGGAGCGAAGCTCAAAGTCTCGTTGAGACTCGTAGCCCGGCGCGTGCGGCCAATGCGAGTTCGTCACATGCGCAGCAGCAGCAGGGATGTTGTCGTGCAGACGCGTCCCTGCGGCGCTAATCCCACACCCGTCAACCCCCGATCAGTGCCCCTGCCTGATTACAGACCAATGCAGACCTGATTGGTAAACCCGTGCCCCCCCCCCCCCCCCTTATAAATCTCAATGTTCATCCTACAAAGTCTCCATCACAAGGGAGAAACGCAAACAAATAGAAAACACATTTTTTTAAAAAAAATTGTTGCCCGTATTGAAACGGCTGCACGCCGTATGGACCTGAAAACTCAATTCCTCTGTACAAGAATGCGGGGTAATCCGAATGAGTTGACAGCTGTGCTACTATACACTACACTATACACTACACTATACACTACACTATACACTACACTATACACCACTATACACTACACTACTATACACAACACTACTATACACTACACTATACACTACACCATACACTACTATACACTACACTACTATACACTACACTCAGCACTACATACCTGTCAACCCCTATCAGTGCCGATGCGGCGGTTTGACCGAGCGCAGTTAAATTTCGAAGGGCTGTTGCGTACTACTGAACTTCTTTTGCGCCGTACGTCGCCGACAAGTGCTAATCGGAGGTGACCCAGCGCATACTGTTTGACGCTGTTTAGTGAGTATTTAAACAGTGTGTGTGTGTTCTCAACTGGCAACACGCCAGCTGGCAACACGTCAGCTCTCCAACGACTCGGAGGCGCGAGGAGCCACAGACAAGCTGGGAGGTAGCCACGCGGTAGGTCCGACGCCAACAATTGTCCAAGCTCTGCGCTCCTCTCTATTTGTACATGAAGGCGTTTGTCGGACAATTAATGAGCGTTCACATGTGAGAGGAAACCGGGGCACATGAAGAAAACCCACGCGTGCGAGGGAGAAACGCTCTAACCCAGCTGTCCCCAACCTTTTTGGCACCAGGGACCGGTTTCGTGGGTGACAATTTTTTCCAGCGACGTTTTTTACTCATTGTGGCTACTAGGGGTTAGCTTGTGGGCTTACCAACACTGTGACTGAGACTGCGCAGTGCGGGAAAGAGGCGCTGACGGATGTGGTAAATAATAAAATAATGGGGCAGGCCACGCGCGGACTCACCGCTCTCACCTCCTGCTGTGCGGCCCGGTTCCTAACAGGCCACGGACCGGTCCGTGGCCCGGGGGTTGGGGACCCCTGGGGTACATGGCACACCGTCCACGACAGTTGTGCGGTCCACCAACCCTCGCCTGCGCGGTGCTGGATCGCAGGCGTGCATAGCCACCGTCGCCCGGCTAACATCTCACTTCATCTCGGTACTCTTGTGCAGGAGGGTCCTGCGTTGAGATGCGTGGCCAATTCTATAAATGAGGCTTCACGTGAGAGGAAATCGAAGGAAGCCGGAGAGAACCTGCACAAAATGTGTGTTAGTTTTTAGTCCTTCCCCCGCACCTCCCAATTGGCACCTTTGGCTATATACACATTTATACACATTGCCCATGGCCGTGCCACTGCTGGCTGAAGGCGCCCCCAAGTCATGTCTAATAGTCTGCTAATTGCAACAATCCATCTAGCTAGACTGGGCATCGTATGATAGCTCCAATCCATATAGGTTTTTTTGGGTTAGATCGCGTAAATATTAATGTGTCATTAAACCCGCCACCACCCGACACAGCCAATTAGTAAGGTTTGCTACGTAAACACAACATGCCGATTCGTTACTAGTACAGCACTAGCCGGTGTGTTGGAGAGCAAATCCACAACATTTTCCAATCTTTGAGTACGACGTTTCGTCAGTAATTACAACCGGCATCATCAGGCGACGGCCAGATTCGTGGAGACATCCGCTTGTTTCGTTCCTTAAACAGAGGGGCAGATGCGATGAGGTCCACTGGTAGCAGCTGGTAATTTGAATGGCTCCAATGTTAATCCAGACCGTTGGTTAGCATCCCTTCAATGTCTGTATGCTTCTGCTACTATGCACTTCTCAGCTTCCATATGGTACAGTCAACATGCAGGGTGCATACAAATTAGAGGGGGTGACATCTCACGCTGACATTTCCTGACATTTTGCTGTCGTCACTTTGCAGCCATCTCGACTACAACACCTGGCAAGCCCTGGCGGTCACGTGTCCCGCAATAGGGTTGCGTCTCAACCCTGCACAGCTCCTGAGAGTTTGCACGGCCGGGTGCTTTTAGCCCGAACTGCGCCGGTGAGAGAACTAAAAATAAAGAAAAAAAGTTTCATCTTGCCCAGCATTTGCCTGTTTCAACAAACCCTGCTGTTTAGTAGCAGCATTGGTCAAGAGGACACCGTGCCTGATGTACGCACACGATCTTGAGTGCTTATTTGTTTACTGATCTGTCTGTAATCACCTTTGGGCAATTACTAAGCGAGCCCACCGGTTAGTTATTGCTATGCCCCATGAAAAATTGTGTCAAAGTCACCTGCGTGCGTTCATTCATAGGGGGACATAAAACAGATTCTCATAAAAAATTTAAGAAAAAAACCTGAACCAATCACTCTGGAATTTGCAACGCAGCTTGCCAGCAACGATGTCTGTTTCGTTTTTTTTGGCAAAAGTGGCAATTAAATTCTTTCAAAGAAGGAGTATTCTTAAATGTATTTCCAAGATAACGTTGCACCGCCTACCGGCGCTGTTAGCGTGCGTGCCTTTAGACCGTGAGCGCGTGGGTGTGAGCGGTTAGGGTTGCCCCCTATGGTACCAACGACAATAAAAAAAACCGGGACATATCATGGGAAGAAGAATACTGTATCTCACAATGACCAGA